CTTCCTGTTAAAAGGGAGTTTTTCCTCTCCACTGTCGCTACAAGCATGCTTAGTGTGAGAGATTCAATGGAATCAACTGGTTTTCCTTTGACATAAAACTTTGAATCAATTTGACTGGATAATCTGGTGAACTGTAAAGTTCCTTGAGATGACATGTGTTATGAATTGGCGCTATAGAAATAAATTGAACTGAATTTAATCAAAGCGTATGATCTCTCTGCAGTTGACATTGATGCTGCCTTCAGGGACCGCTCGGAGAACCGGCGCCGCCGGAAGAGGACCACCTTCAACAAGGCGCAGCTGAGCCAGCTGGAAAGGGCCTTCTCCATCACTCAGTATCCTAACATCAAAATGAAGGAGTCTCTTTCTCATTTGACCGGCCTACCTGAGTCCAAGATTCAGGTATGCCACATATTTTTACCGAGATCAAGTCGGGATTTTACAGCACGATGTTTGATACATTATATTTCATTTATTCAACAGGTCTGGTTTCAAAACCGTCGCGCGCGCTACTTCAAGAGCAAGAAGCAAACCAGAAAACCCTCGCACCCCCGTTCGGATAGCATAAAATCTGAGTTTGATAATTCCACACCCTGCAGCCCATCAGTGCCCCACATGGATCCATCATTCCCATCTCTCCTGTCCTCACCTGGCTGTCCAGCTCCAAGTCCTCAGACCTTCAGCCTTCAACCTTCATCCCCTGATCTGTTTGCATTATATTTCTTGAACGATAATGACCACAACTCGATTCCCCATAGACTCGATGACTGGGATTACAGGGAACTAGAAGCTGTACTAGGATGTGCACAGGACGCCCATACAGATGTGAGCCGTTGCACTGCAGCTGCCCACGTTGAGCCAACGGACATCCCTCAGAGTGAGCTGGAACTCCAGGGTTTCAGCTTTGAAGACGAGTCTCTGGACGACCTGGCTGATCTGTGCCTGAAAGAGTTGGCAGGCGACTTCAGCCTGTCTGATCTGGAGATCTCTGCTGCTATGTTGGACTATATTTTCACTTGAGATCTCGATATGTAATCCGATGTTTATATTGTAGAAACAATTATTTAAAGTATTATAACTTTATATCAGTGATGCACCAGAGAAATAAAAAAAGATATATCTAGGCTTTGTTGTATCTGGATTCAAAAATGCACATATTGCGTTCGCGGTCACAGGGCGCCGTGGCTTAGTTGGTTAAAGCGCCTGTCTAGTAAACAGGAGATCCTGGGTTCGAATCCCAGCGGTGCCTTTTGATAATTTATTCTTGACAGTTAGCCATTTTTATAATGTGTATATTTATCTACCCCCCCACTCCCAATGTACACAAAATGTAAAATTCCATAATGACAAATGTTGTCCCTCGACATAAAAGCCTTGCTCGAGTGTCGTTATACGTCTACCTAGCCGCCATATTGTGGGTGGCATTTTTTTTTAATGGGTTTCTCCCTGGGTTTAAGGTAAAGCTACATAAATGTGTGAAATATTGTGACAACGAAAAAACAATTCGGCGACAATATAAAGAGTTATGTATTCAACGCTGTCACAAACACAAAACAATTGTGATGTTACTGCTCCTATTTTATAAAAGTAATTACTAACAATAGAGGTTACATTCACCTCTGAAATTATTATTATTTTTCCAACTAAAACTGCAATCCTAGATCAAATACGTTTAAAATATAACCGGAAGTTAGAACAGTGTGGAGAATAAAGTAGTAATTTACTGCCGTAAAGTTTGGGTCATGATCACGTACTATAAAAAACATAATTTTTTTTTTAATCAGCAGCTTGTACGGGAAACTAATCGATTTAAGACTTCCACAGTTTAATATGCCAAAATAAGAAATAATAAACATATATATAAAAATATAAAATAAAATCGGGAACTTTGCAATTTTTCAAAAAAAATAAACCAGTAAACAAACAAATAAACGAAGCAACTGGCATTCAAGCTTATTATAGTGATAAAAACACTGATATTGAAACGGTAGCACTGTAAATAAAAAAAAAAAAAAAATAACAGCAAACAGAAACAATAGGCATATAATCAGCTTTAGATTTTATTTCATATTAAATATTTTCTGAAGATCATTCGTCCACAAGTGGGCGCAACTCCTCCAAGAATCTGAAGGGCCAACTGAAGTGGTCAGGAAACTACATTAATATCACAAAATTATTCAAGCAGAAAGCAAAATATAGAAACCTTTACAGGATAAGACAGAAATGAGTTCAGTTATAGAATTGCCAAAAAAAAACCCCCAAAAGTTAGACTAGATCAGTGTTTTTTTTTTTTTTTTTTTTTTTAAAGGGAAGGTTATGATAAAAATGTTAACTAAATTAATATTTTATCTGCACAAGAAAACTTTAACATTGTATTAATTTAGATAAGAATGAGATTAGTTGGACCAAGACCCTGAAGGCTACATCAAGAGGAATTATTATCAAACTAGAGTTCTACCTTTCTCTGAACAACTACAGTCTAAAAAAAATGTCAGAGCAACTCATGGTAGGGCCTCTTTAAGAACCGTTAATCAAATTCACACCTGCAAAGCTCCTGAGTTAGGGTCAGTGCATCTTATATCCTAACTTAAGATATACAAGAACAGAACATGCAAAGCATTTTGGTCAGAACATGCAAAGCATTTTGGTCAGAGTTACACCCTAAACATGAGTAAAAAGCAAACATATTACAGCAACCTAAGTCAGCACCATCGTACCTATGGACATGTGTAAATGTATGAGGTAAGTATGGAAAAAAGAAAGTTAGCACAATAAAATCAACACCATTAAAATCACTGCAACAGAAAGCATCTCTGCGGTTCAAATTCAAATCACAAAATGTATTTTCAGAGTTTAAGTTTTAATAGTAGGAAGTAAATGAGCCTCTTGAATGTTTACCTTCTAATTCAAGTTCAGTTGGATTTATTTGGATTATTTAGTTGGATTTATTTATTTTTGCCTTCACCTTTCATTTAGGTTATAAACCAGAACACTATTGGTGGGAACCCATTTCCTGCCTCCATATCTGCATAAATAATCACCGCAAATATGGCAGCAATTTAATGTTCTCTAAACTGTTTTTTTTTTTTTTTACATACATATTTACTTGTTTTGCGTGTCAAGTATTTTTTTTTAGGATTGTAGAAAACAGTTTTAGACTTAAACCCTCAGGATTTAGCTCCAGTTAATCTGCATTTGTACCAAATGGAAACAATAGGAGGGAATCATCAAATGTAGACCTTAAATCAAAACCTTTTTTACAGACCATAGATAAAGAGTCAATCTTATTGCAATAACCTGATCTATCCCTTTAAAATGTAAAGAAGCATACTAAACCTTAACATATGCATTTGATGGGTGTAGGCTAAAACAGAAATACAGTAATATTGAATTAGTAAAGGGTTTCACTAGACTCAGGGTGTTAGTTACACAGAGATGCAATGAAGACACTTATAGCGTGTGTCTGTAGTTTAGCTAGCCTATCTCTTCTCTGCTCTGGGTGTATCACTTGGGGGTTTCTCTTCACAGCCCAGCCAATATTTCGCAATGGACCTTGGGTACGGAGGGCTGACAATGTCCACACGTTTTGTCTGCAGAGACACTCTGTAGTACTTATCTGTCAACATGAAAAGAAAAAAAGTCCAAATGAAATACGGTAAAAAGTTAAGAGACAAGATGCAAAATGAAGAAACCTAATGAAGTATTGAATGTTTAAAAATGACTTCCTGCAATCACCTTTTTTGAAAAAGTAGACGTTTTGAACGGGGGTGCCTTTATAATCTTGCACTGTCACTTCTTCAGCCATGTCGCTGTAATCCAGGCCAAAGTCAAACAAATCATCATAAAACCACATGTCATCAAACACGTAGCGACTTTGCCTCCTGCGCTGGGGGCCACGTCTCCTGCTTGGCCTCCTCTTCCTCCCTCTGCTCCTTCGCCTGGCTGCTGGAGAAGACATGGTGGGCTTGGGATTGAAAGAAACTTTTCCCACTAAGGCGGCATCCACAGGTGGTGTGATGCCTCGCCAGTCCCTCATGATGAGCCTGGAGCTGGTGTCATGTGTGTCTGAAGGTAGAAGAGGGAACAAGAAGCAAGTTATGGATGAATAATATTTATTAAATATACAGTTACCATCCATTTTATTTTATACTCTTTGCTTTTACCTATTGGGACATTTTTTTGTCCCCAGAACTGCCTGATATCTTCATGGCATAAATTAAAGAAACTGTCCTGTATGGTATTGTATCCTCAGTTTCCTGTTTTCTGAAAGGAATGTCACCCAGTGATGTATTCTTCTGCCGCAGGGTGTGGCGTGTTACTGTTTGAACTGCTGAATTCCTTTAACATCTATAACAAGCCTTTCTATTGTCCAATCCTCCCTGACATCAAAAATACTCTAGCCCATTCACTGCATGCTTTCTAAACCAAAATGTGATTACAGGTAAACTTCTGTAAATTAGTAATAATTTCCAAAGTACTTAAACCAATCAACAAGCATGCACACTGCAAGAAAATTGAATCTCAATTAGTAATTTTTTTCTTAAAATAAGTGCATTTTTTCTTGAATTAAGGAGGTAAGTGAGACACTTTGCCACTGGAACAAGACAATTTACATTTGATATAAGAAAAAAAAGTAGCATTGTTTTAGTTTGAGTGCATAATATCTTATTATCTTATTTTAAAAGTAAAAATACGAATTCCATCGGCAAATCATCTTATATACCTGCTCCAATTAAGTGTAAATACACTTAATTTCAGACATGTTGTCTCATGTTTAGATAATTTTTTGCAGTGCAACATGCATAGTTACCTAATTACCTTTTCTTTCCTATTCTGATGCTTGGTTCTCATTTCAGCAGCAGGTCCTCAACTTATCTAGATCTGTTAATTAACTGAGTTCCTGCTATGTGATTGGCTGAATGACTGTTACTGTTAAAAAGCATTTGAAGAATAGTATCTAATATATATTTGGTTAAAGTACTCTTATAGACATATTTATAGGATAATGTAATGTGATTTGGCTCTTTTTTCAGATTAAAACTAACATTTGAAACAACTTTCCTAAAAAATATTCTATTCTAAAGTGTGATATTTTTATTAGCTGTACATCGCCGGAGTTAAAGCCTTAAAAACATCACCCAATGTGAACTTACATATAGTCATTTTCACATGGTTAATTGATTAACTAAAATCTAAAAAAGAAAAACATTTCAATCATATTCCTATAGATTGACTGCATGTAAACACATCTTTATCTCAGTCTTACAGAGGTTTGCAAAGAGGTCTGTGAGGAGGCTCTCCAACGGCTGATCGCAGAACAGGTCGGTGTAACGTGTGAAGAGAACAGATGGAGAGGTTCTGCTCATGTAGACACACTCTTCATGAGACGGCTGGTGCTTGAACTCATACTGGTAATACTTCTGACCTGAGAAATAAAACATGTTTTCTTTTATCATTTATTTATTATATGTTTTCATTATTAATGTTACCTGTATGCAATAAATGAGAAACAGGACTTCTCTTAACCCCCTTGTTCTAACATTGCAGTTTAATTAAAAAAACACTTGTATATTTTTTCTTCTTCTGTAGTCTTTTTGGAAAAATTATCATAATTTCTTTCTCTTAGAGGAGACAACTGGTGGTTATGTACAGAAAATAAATGTCCACTTAAGGTTCTTATCCTTTGTCATCTTTAATAATAATTATAACTGAACTTTATTGATCTCACATTGGAGAAATTTACCTCTGCATTTAATTAACCCATCCCCTTGGGGAGCAGTGGGCTGCCATCGTGGGGCGCCCGCGGAGCAGTATGGGGTTAAGGGTCTTGCTCACGGACCCAGAGTGGCAGTCCGTGGGAGTGACGCTCAAACTCAGAACCTCAGGATTCCAATCTCTCTGCCCTAACCACTAGGCTGCCACTCCCCCCCTTAGATCCGAATGGATCTAATTCTTAAGTTCGTCTTCTGAAGCCCACATTGATACATGATAATCAAAAAGACATGTTGTTTTTTAAATGGTACTTTATCTCTCATCTCTTACCTTTAAAAAAGTAGGCTTTTTCCTTTCCTCTGTGACTTGGTGCAGGTACAGCAAACGCTGCATCCAGATGACTTGGGATACCTTCAAAACCCACAGAAATGTCCCTTGGATAGTCCTCGTCTAAGACGTCTCCCTCAAATCTCCAGTACTGGTTGCCCTTAGGCACAAAATATGTAAAGCCAAATGGTGTGAGCTTTGATTATGTTAAAATAGAATTCAACTTTATTTTCGTTAAACTGTCACAACGTACAAAGCAACAAAATGTAGTTTGCATCTATCCAGAAGTGCTATACAGGATAAAGTATTTACTCACATGTGCACAGAGACTATGTATGTAGTGACTATAAATGGTATATATAAACAGAGAATAATGTATATATGAAAACAATATACAGATTATACAGGAAAGTTAAATGTTAAAATCTTGATATTATCCCTGAGTTAGGAGCACTTTTAACAAGTAAATATTTGACAAAATTATAAAAATCATGCATTTTGAGGAGAAATAAAGCAGAATATTTGTTTAGCAGAAATAAAGTTCCTATGATCGGCTTTTTATAAAATATTTTATGCATATGAGTGTGCACTGTACCCCCTCCTGTGTCCACTGTCAGCTTTCTGTTTCTGTTATGTTTTTTCTTTTCAGTATCCAGTTTTGCTTTGCTCCTTGTTTTTTACTTTTAGTGGGTTAATTCTTAGTTTATTGAGTTCTTAGTTTTTTTCTCAGGTACTGTCCTAGTCTTGGTTCTGTTATATTTTCTTTTTAGTGCTCAGTCTTGCTTTGCTCCTTGTTTTTTAGTTTTAGTGGGTTAATTCTCAGTTTATTGAGTTCTTTGGTTTTTTCTCAGGTACTGTCTTAGTCTTGGTTCTGTTATATTTTCTTTTTAGTGCTCAGTCTTGCTTTGCTCCTTGTTTTTTAGTTTTAGTGGGTTAATTCTTAGTTTATTGAGTTCTTTGGTTTTTTCTCAGGCACTGTCTTAGTCTTGGTTCTGTTGTTTTTTCTTTTGAGTGTTTAGTTTTCTTTTCTCCATGTTTTATAGTCCTAGTGGTTTAATTATTATTTTGTTGTTATTTCCAGTCTTCCAGGTTTCTTTTTGTTGCCCTCTGCTGCCATCTTATGTTCTCCTTTCTCCCTAGCTCTTTCCCTCTCTTGTTCTGTGCACACCTGCTCCCAGTTTCCTCATTAGCCCCCTCTTTGTCTCAGTCTCCTTTAAAACCCCTCTCTCTTCAGTTCCTCGTCTAACCTCGTCTACTTCCTCCAACTCCGTCTCTCTGAGCCTACCTCTTCTAGATTGGAGTCTCCACAGTTTCTGGTTTGTTTAGACTTTGTTTTCATGATTTGCTTTTGGTATTTTTGGATATTTGAACTCCTGGTTTTAAGTTTCTTTTGGACTTAGTTTTTGTGTTTGGATTTTGGATTTTCTTGCCTCTGTTTTCTGTTCTACTTTATTAAACCCACAAGATAATAATCTCTGCCTTCCTGCCTCTGCATTTTGGGTCATCAATCCACAAACAAATCATGACATCCACACCCTTTTATAATCATTGTGCCTTGAAAGAGAGGTATTTTACATTTACTTCACAGAACTAGCACAAACGTAAATGTTTTTATTTTGCCCAACAAACACAGAATAGCGAATAAGTATGAAGTGGAAGAAAAATTATAAAAGGCATTTAAGGTTTATGGCAAATAAAACTTTGAAAAACATGGTGCACACTTTTTAATCCACCCTTTTATTAAAATCAAGTGCAGTGGTAAACTGAGTCTTGTCTGTAATCCAGCTGTTCCAAGAAGGCCTCAGAGGTTTGCTTGATATCATTAATGAACAAACAGCATCATGGAGACCAGGGAGCACAGCAGACAGGTTGGTAAGGTTGTAGAGAGGCTAAAATGTAAGGTTAGGTTATAGAACAGATTGCTGATGATCTGCTGAGATCACAGCTCATGGGGACACAAGAGGCAGCAGGAAAGTTGGAATAACAAATTAATTGTTGAAATAAATTAATCAGGAATTCTGTAAAAAAAATCTGCCCCTAAGTCTTATTGGAGGCACAGCAAAAATGTAGTTTAGTGGATTTTTAGCCTAGATGCATGATTAGCAGAAATTTATCACAGCAAATCAATCTTAAATGTGTGGAACATGGTGGTGGCAGGATAATGCTCTGGTAGTTCACTAGTTTATATTTGTCTGTAAAACATACCTTTGTTGTTAGATAGAGTTTGTATTATTAGATATTATAGAACAATGATTATGTTTCCTTACGTTCATAAAATTCCAGGAAAAAGAAAAAGTATATGAAAAATAAATGATTTCAATTAGCTATCTTTATTTTCACGGCACAATGTTTAAAGTAGTATTTTGCTGAGCGATCTCAGTGAAATTAAGAAAAGAAAATTAAATCTAGATTATGTGGTTTGTGGTTGAAAAGAAAGTTACTTCCCTCAAAAAATCAAATGATGTAATTTTTTAAATTGTTAAATAACAAACCCAGCATCTTGAAGTGGTGTGTTTCAAACAAGACATATTTAATTTTAATGACTACGGGGGTTTTAAACTTCAACATACAAGTAGACACCGCCAGCGAGGCTTCAAATACTGATATTACTCCTTCTCCCTATTTAAATCACACTCAGATCAGACTAGGACTCAATTATTAATTATTTGGTGTAAAATCTTTTTTTTTTTTGTAGTTGGAAGCAAAGTGTTAAATGTTCAGGGCTTGGTTGCAGATCACTCTGCAGGGATTCCCACCTTAAAGATGTAGGACTTTCCCTGGCAGTTGATGCGGGTGAACGCAGCACTGATGGGTCCTGGGATTCCCCACACGTCCTCGATAAGTTTAGGGTAACCAGGAAGAATGGACTTGTCATCCAGTTCAAAGAAATATTCACCTGGGGGAGATGATACCAACTGTAAGAATTTAAGATGAGATTTAATGCATTTCTTTTTTTATTATATCAATATTCTCATCCTTTTGACTCAATTGTTGTCGCATTTCTGTCGCAAAAACACAGACATCTACAAATAAACCCAAAACAATCACTTTATAAAATATATTGTACGTCTGGGGGGTGCGGTTTATCTACCCCCACATTAGCTTTAAAATTAATCTAATGAAAAACTAAATAATTAAGTGTTCAGAATGATAAGATAAATTAAGTTATTTCTTTATGAGAAAATGAAGTGCATCCCATAAGTAGAGTTTGACTGGCTTTCGAAGGGGAACCATTTTGGCTTTGATCTGATCCATTACACAGTGAAAAATCAGGCTGACACAGGAAAAAATATTGACTGTTTGTAGGGCTAAATCCAATGGGTCCCTGAAAAGTTCATTTGGAAAAAAAGATAAACAAATAGGGACCAAACTGATTTACTAAGTTGGTTCTATCAGGTGGCACAAGGAAAAAACTGCTCAGCAACTAAGATCTCTTTTAACCAATGATTACTGAGAGCGGTAAATATAAAAACACCAGTTTATTTTATTCAATACTGCTTTCACTTGGTTTTATTATGCTTTGAGGGATGCTAATTTCCTATTGAGGTGAAACTACTTGGTCTAATGAGAAAAAACTTGAACATCTAAATCTGCCAGATGCATGGATAATTTTGCAGCAAATTTTTTAAAATCTGTCCCATTCAGCCTCTGGAAACTGGCCGTGAACCCATAAAAAACACAAGTGAAAAATGAATATAGAAAAGCACATTCTACGTTTTACCTCTAAATGCATAGATCGAACCATTCTTCAGTTGCAGGAATGCATCAAAAGGCCGCCCACTGCAGGGCTCTGCGTTGGGGTCAACAGTCGGCGCATACCCGTGCGTGGTGTTAGGTGGGGGGGTTAAAGAGGAGGGCAACGTCGGTGTGACCGTGTTCAAATTTGGTGTAGGGTCAGTCATATCTTCTGCTTCTCCAAATGTGTCCCCTCGAGAAACTTAGAGCAGAGAAGATTTCATGTATACAACCTGTTGATTGCACTGATTACTTATCCAAAATTACAGAATAAAGTTGGGATATTCTAAATGTACGAACCCTTTTTGGGGCAGATGGTGGAAAAGTCCTGACAGCAGCTCGTATAATACACGCACATTGAGTCACACTGGCATTTGTTTAGCGGGCTGAAGGAGCCGCATCGACCCAAGCAGGACTCTGTAAGAGAGCAGTTTGTTTGTTTCAGTCACAAAGTGCACATTCTGATCAGAGGTCAGTAGCAAACATTAGAAGAACTGTTAACGAAATTATGGTGTCATGGCTAATAAGCCTTAATATTTAAAATACATTCATATACAATTATTTATTTCATGGTTAATCTGTTTTTTTTTATTACAAACCGACAGAATTTGACTTGAAATAATCAATTTTCAAACTACATAACAGATATATGAAAGTTTGATCTTTGTTAACTGTTGTTGCTGGACTGCAAAGAACTGTTATAGAACAATGTTGGGAAAAGCTAATGTGAAGTAAAAACAAAAAAAGAAAGCAACCCAAAATATCTAATGTAAACATGCATTTCTTTTACTCTTTTATTTTCTATTTGTGCCCTGCGATGGACTTGCGACCTGTCCAGGGTGTACCCTGCCTCTCGCTGGAGATAGGCACCAGCACCCCTTGCAACCCCACTTGGGATGAAGCGTGTCAGAAAATGGATGGATGGATGGATTTTTTCATTTGGGTATTTGGTATGTTTTAAAAGATAAATAGGATAATAAAAAAAAAAATACTTATAGTAATTTTAAAAAAGGAGAAATTATAAAAGAGAGGACTATAAACATTGAAAATGTAGAACAAACCTAAAAAAAAAAAAAAGCTATATACACATATTTCTATAATGGTATAACTGTGACAATCTAGTTATTTTGGTCCCAAACGAAACATCCTATGTCATTCTTACCTTCAGCTCCAAAAATGGTGTCCAGCAGGAGCACCAGGCCCAGCAGAACCATTGCTGGCTTCATGGTAGCTCAGTTATCACTTAAATTATGACCATATAACTGTAGAAAAGCTTTAATTTCACCAAATAACAGCCAGCAGACTAGCTGATGAGTTTAAACTGAGTGTGCCTCTCTCGGAAGAGGATCAATAGCTATTATTCAGAAGCTGCCGACCCTGTGGCATTTGCTCTCCTGATTGGTCAACACTCAGGCGTGACAATCATTAAACTAAAACGAATGACCTCTGTCCTGTCCATCACATCCTGCAAGCATTGCATGGAAGTTAATTTCCGTTTAGCTTGATGGGAAACTGCAAATATGAGACATATGTGCTGTATGTTTATAGAGGAAGCGTAGTTTGCAAAGAGAGCAAAATGTATTTTCCTTTAAACATTGTGTGACCTTAGCTTACTTTCCATAATATTGATCTCTGGGATGAATAAACAACCAAAAGCAAATACAGTGGGGTTTTCTTCTCTCAGACTTTCAGCTTGACCAATTTAATTCAATTCATTTCTATTCAGTTTATTTATATAGCTCCTTTTCACAACATATTTTATCTGAAGGTATTTTACAGAGACAATTTAACCAGATCATACAGTCAGATAGGTTCAAAGTTTTCCATCTAAGGTAAGCCTGGTGATTACACAGACTCATTGACTCTTCAGCAATCCCTCAAACCAATATATATATATATATATATTTCAATCTAGAAAAACTCACACAAAGAGAAAAGACAATTAGGAGCAAAGAATAGGGCTGTTCTCCCCCTCAGGCCTGAAACTGGTGGTGGAGTGGAGATAGATGAAGTTGGTCAGTCTGTAGACTGCTGGTTAGCTAGACAGTCTACTGAGCTTTATGAGGAGATCCAGTGGATTTGGGGAGCTGATACTAGAGCTTCACTCAGGGACCTGGAAGATGGAAGTCCAGTTTGGATAACACAGGTTTGGAGAACCTGTCCATGATGAGCAAGCACAAAGCGACAGTTGAGAGGAAAAACTCCCTGTTGGGAAGAAACCTCTGGCAGAACCAGGCTCAATATGGCGGTCTTCTGCCGGACCGGTTAAGATGAGACAGGGAACGCAGTAAAAGTCCGGGTGTGTCATCTGAATGAAGTTACAGCGCATCCAACGCCTGATCACAGGAGCAGACAGATGCGGATCGGAGGCCTTTTAAGATGAGCTTTGGATGCCGATTGGCCTTCATGGAGGGGTGGTTCAAAGCAGCTTGGCTTTGTCGCAGGTGGATGTATGTATCTTTGCTGTCCCTAGAACTGCACTCTTCTGGACTAAGTGTCTGATGCATTTACAGCGATCTCCTGTAATCACTCCTCAAGTTTGGGGGTCACTGCCCAGAGTGCCCAATGACCACGGGTGCCACTGATGTCTTGAGCTTCCAGGTTTTCTCCAGCTCTTCTCTGAGACACTGGTGTTTCTTTAGTTTCTCATGCTCCTTTTTTCCTGATATATATATACACACATATATATATAAATATATACGTATATGTATATACATGTCTGTGTGTTGGGGTCTTGTTTAACCTAGAATGTGGTGGAAGTATTTTGCAAAATATCCTACATACAAAGACTTACAGGTACATTTGGGGACATTCAACTGGTTACCATATGGTAGAGTTAGTTTAGGACTAAGGTGTGAATTCAGTTTAGGATAAGCATATATGTTGGTAATAGTTGGGGTTAGAGTAAGGGTCTGGGTTAGGCCATATAAGACAAATATATAAGACAAATGCAAGTCAATGAAATGTCCCCATATGTCATGAAAACAAAGCCGTTTGTGGTGTGTGTGTGTATAAGGTTTAAATCTGCCAGATCTCACTGTGAAGAGATGCAGAAAGTGTGGAAGGGACAGCTGATCACTATGCTAACAGTTCCTCATCATTCATTGACAGGCATTTGTTACTTATTGTAAGATTTACCCTCCTCCCATTAAAATCATCAAACCTCTGCAGTCAGAGTGAGGTGGCATTTCAATTTTCCATTATATAAAATAGATTTACAAGGAATGTTTTTATTTTATTTGGATCTTTTCAATTTTTGTATATTTTTGGATTTTTGGTTATGATCCAGATTTTGTCCATCCTGCTATTTCAAAAAGCAGTCAGAATGATTATGTGCTTTCAAATCCATTACATCAAAGACATAAACCTGGTGAGGATAGATTAGGATTGCGTGTGGACTTTGATTGTCTGTAAAACCTATGTCATTAAGTAATGCTTGGGTTACTGCCATTGTTTAAATCTTTCTTAGGTACAGGCCTTAGAAAGCACAGAATTGCAGAGTTTTACGTTATCCCACACACAGAGGACCATTTTGAGATGTATAGACTCAATAAAAAGTGTTCTTCTAATGCGGTTAATCAAATGTATTTCAGTATTTCTTAAACATTGTTTGGCTTTTTATTGTACAAATCATCTTTTTTTATTTGCCTCCAAATTGTTTAAAACACCTGACTCATTCAATGTTTTTTTATCAAGTGGAAAGTTCACTGCAACCTAACAAATGCAAGAAGTAGGAAATAAAAAGTAACACAGTCACATTTGATGAATTAAGTCCTTATGGCTCCACCATTATATGCCAATTTAGTCATCAATATAACTGCTATTCCTGTGTTATTGAGAGCTATTAATCCATCAGCAAGTCAGTTGCTTGCCTTGTGTAACGGGCTTTGAGCAGTGATCCAACCTTTGAGCTTTTTATTGTAAAAGGAACTGTGTAGAACATTCACTCATATAAAAACGATTAGTTCAGTTTAGTTATCAAAATGAATATATAATAGCTATGATTTTATGATTAGAAATATCCTTCTTTTCATTTGATAAGAAAAAAAGGAAATGTTTATGTTTTTCATGCAAAGATTACTTTGTTACTTTGAGGACTAACTTTACTTGAATCTTTTATTATCTGATGTAATGGTCAATTCACATTTCATATGCTGCAAATTTGATCCAAAAATCTAAAAAAGAAAAGATACAAATCGAAGTTATTGGCTTGATTTTCTTTTTTAAAATTTTATTTTAAGTTCTTCATCTTCATTGCAGAAAGTACAACTAAACCTTGTTCTCTTGGCAGCTGAAATCTGTTGTAGTTTGCAGTTGTGGAATTTTATGACCTCTTATCTTTCACGTGAAGTGTAGGGATAAATTATTTATAAAACACAATAGCGCCTGTATATGAACTTTTTTTTTTCTGTTTTACAGCTGTTAAATTCAGAAGTTTAATCCAGACGATACATAATACATATAGATATATAATCCAGAATTACAGCCTTTGTATTTGAGAGAGAAAGTATGATTTCAAAATCTTTTCTAATGTTGAATAACTCGTAAAACCTTCTGAAGCTGCTATCGTGCTGCCTTTCTGAGCGTAGCTGTGCTCTTAAGACAGTTCTTTGCTACTTACTGAGTAAAAGCTCAGATTTTTTTTGTTAAAACCAAGCTATTGTGTTTATGAAAATGTAATGCCCCTTTAATCAACTAAAGATTTTGGTTGAATTCTCTCTATAAAAAATGTAAATGGTTTTTAATATTTGTTGCACATAAACAGTTACACCCACTCGTCTTTTTAAAAAGATAAAATACTAATATACTTGCTTCTTTAAAATCATGCTCTACTAGCACAAAACAGTATAATAAAATAACACATAAATTTAACTAAAAAGTCCTCAAGTTTTCTTCTAAATGAGCTACCATCAGATTTTAACACATATTAGCAACAAAGGAGAGAGAACATTTTTTGCATTAATCTAGAGTTCAGCTCCTTGTGATGGGATTACATGATTCCTTCTCCCATCATAATTTGAAAAGCGGGAGACTTGAATTTAAAAAATGTAAACGAAATGAAATAAAGCTATAGAGCTTCTTTATTAGCATTTTTTCATTTTAATCATTCAAAGGAAAGTTCCAATTTTAAAATTTGGATTTTCTTCTGCTAAACAAAAAACAAAAACTAAAAGCAAACACAAAGGAGAATCTTTTTTGTCCAACTAAACTTGAATTGAGCTTCAAACTAAGGATTCCTAAAGACTCCTGTTACTTCATAAAGTTCCCTGTGTTTCAGACATACGTACATTTAGTTCCTCTAAAAAATTGCAGCTTTCAGCTCAAAGAGAATTAATACCAGGTTGAAATTCTGTTGAAATTGCTATTGCAATCTCAATGTCAAAAAGTTTTATAGTTGATTTATTGTATATTAACAAAAAACTCTCCAGACATTTCTTTAAAGCCTTTAACTACTTTAAAATATGGCATATAGGTAATTATAGAAACTTTCTTTTGTATACAGCTAACCCAGCAACTTAGCTAATTAGCATAAAATTGGCTCAAGTTGGTTTAAATTTTGGTTTTAATTCAAATTCCCTCTGTTACTGGTTATATCAAATTTTCTTTTATTAATTTATTTTTAACAAAAGTGAAGATAAAAGGAAGGAAAAGCTTAAGACCAAATGTTATACATAGTTTATGTGTAACATTCACCTCCTCCTGAAAGTTCAAGAGATATTTAGCTGCTAAAGACATCTTACTACAGGGTTCATATGTTAGGAAACAATGCTTGTGTGAAGAAGCAGAAAGTAGCATAAAAGAAATATAAAAAAAAAGATCTATATTGTGTATTTCCCATTCGAAAGTCTTAGTTAACACATTCCTGATCTACTGAATCTTGAAGTAAAACTTGGCCTATGTTCTCTCCAGTTTATCGGTTATATGTTGTGAAACCTGAACTCTTATGATCCCCCCAGTGCAGACTGACAGAGGGCTCCTTCTCAGCTGTAACGTGTAAACCCCCTGAACCTTGGTTACACATGACAGAGCTGGACTCCACCTGATAAACCTGACCATTGTTTAGCTATCATTGGCTCCATCTGTCCGTCCCTCCCCCCTTCCTCTAGAGCTGCCTCCACTCTCTTTACCTGGAACTTCATCCTCCTCCCTGTCAAGGATAGTGAACACTTGGTGTTGAGCTAATGTTTGATGAACTAACACAAACATACAGAGTAAATTCTAATCATTTATTTATTTTTTTAACAATAGCAGCTTTCCACGGTGCACTTCTCCATTGATAGAAGATCTGACTTCTTTGAATTTTTTCCAACTGGCCTCCTCCTCCTCACACTGGACTAGTGTGTGCCTGCCTCAGCTTTCTGGGAACTACTTACCTACCAAGCTTTAGAAGAGTTTTCTAACTGCGGTCCGATCGTTAGCCTTTCAGAGACCATCATGGGTTGCATGTTAAATGTATTAAAGTGGATGTGGTACCACAGAAACTACATCATCATCGTCGTCACTCCACTCGCTTTTCTTCCTCTGCCACTTGTCATCCCCACCTCTGTGAGTACGAATGAGCTAAACTATTGAAATCAGAGTAATTTTTTTAATTTTAACAGTGCTCTTACTATAACAGTCATTCATGCAGGTGATAAGAACCTGCTGGAAGCTCAGAGCAAAACAAGTAGAAGTTACCTACCATTATTGTCGAAATTAACACCTGTTCTGTGAATGTTTGCATCTTTTAATCCACATACTTATTTTTCTAAGCCTTCCAACAAATGAAAGTTTTGAACATTTGAGGTTGTTAAGTATTCTTTTCGCATATAAAACATATCGTACACTTACACTCAAATCAATGCAAACTTAATTGTTCAAAGGTTTCCAACTAGCATGTTTCTCTGCACTTTATTGTCGATTTGAATGACTGAGAATGGGCAAAAATTCTAATAAGTCCATGAAAATATTTTAAATTTAACAATATTGTTAGTTGATTTTGTAATTTCTCGTTGTTGCCAATCTAAAAATTGTGATTTACTTTCAACATGAGGGAAATCACAAGTGTGTAGCATACCCAATCAAGTACAAGATTAAGTCCATCTGATGCTGTAAATAGGAGGTTCTGTTTTTCTATGGACCTTGATGTCTGTTAGTATTTTAAGCATTTTAAATTATACCTCTCTAAACAACTCTAAAAACAATGCATGCAAATTTTGCATTCTTATTTAATATTTATAATTTCTAACCTCATTGGTGTCAAACAAATATCTTTAACATCTTTTTTCTTTTAAAGAAACTTTTAGCACAAAATAAAATAAACTTCAGGGTCAAGCAGAATTTTCCCGATGGAATTTTTTGTGTCGGACAGTTTAAACGGCGCTTTATATTTTTACAAGGGAACTATAAAAGATATCTTGTGAGACAAGAGTACAACAACAACAGTTTGTTTGATGATCAAGGGTTGCTACTATCAGCTGGCGTAAAGTCTTATAGCCTTTTAAAGAGAAGCAGAGATAAGGCAAATGTAGGGAAGGATAACTCTGCAGTAAGTCAATGTCTGCTTTGGCTTCTGTGTCTCTTTGCATGTTTAAAATCTAATCAAAGTTGCTTCAAAATTGCCATGAGCAAACATTTTTTAGAAAACACCCCAATATATTCATATACCGGTAGTTGAAATCTAAGGTTTCAGTATTGTAAATAATAATTGAACTTTATTAATCTCACATTGGAGAAGTTTACCCCTACATTTAACCCATACCCTTTCGTAGCAGTGGGCTGCCATTATGGGGTGCCCATGGAGCAATCAGGGGTTAAGGGTCTTGCTCAGAGACCCAGAGTGGCAGTCTGTGGGAGTGGGGCTTGAACTCAGAACTGATGCGCTATGCCCAAACCACTAGGCCACCACTCCCCCTTTAGCAACTTCACTTTGCCCAGTGATATGATGCTTCCCTATGTTTGAATAAATGTAGGCTGTTACTAACCTGTATGTCTTTTTAGATCACTTGATCCAATCTTATAATCTTGGGAACAAATCTAGGGAATCACTTTCGGATGAAAAGGAATCCAACATGAGTGCTTCATTGTGTTCAAATTTTCTTTGTTTAAAAAATGGTTTTCCAGCTTTCTACTGAAAAAGGAAAGTTTGTTCCTCAGAGAAAATACTTTGACAATATTCGTCAAAGTACTTCTTGCAGAATTTAAGTCAGTCCTTAACCCTGTAATGCCAAATGTATCATATTTGATACGTACGGTTTCTGAAATGTTTTGCGTCTGACACCTTTTGCATAATTTAATGGTAAAAACTTTGCTCAAAATCCTATTGTACACAATCAGATATACCTGATAACAGAGGGCAGAAGACTACACAAAAAATAATCTTGACTTATCGCATAGTAATAAATTATTAATATCAAAAATGTATTTCTGTTTTTTCTTTTTACATATTTTGTTAAAAGGCCAAATAAGGACTTCAAACCAAAAAAAAGTAATTTTCAGTTTTGTTTTATTCTTGGATCGGGCTTTAAAGGGTTAACGGTTTCCTGTACAGAATAATCTCCTTTGTGGCTGCTAATTTTACAAGGTTGTTCCTGAAAAATCTTTGTTCTGTTGATGTCTACGTAAAATATTCTTTGCACTGAGGGAAAGAACAGTCGGCGTGCTAGTCCTCAGTAGAAAATGGTCCAGGCCATATCTGCTAACCTTAGGTCATCCTGAGGCTGTTCTCAAAGCAACTCACCCTCTCTAACAATTTTGATAAAAAGTGATTTTAATTTCAAACCATTTAATTGCAAACCATTTATGATTTTGATTCTGTTTTATCATGCATACTATTACATACTTGTGTTCCTGAGGGCTGCATATACTCATAGGTATGTATAAAAAAAGTTCAAAGGTAAAAATGGTCATTTGTCTCCCATTCTTATAAAAGGAAATAATAGAGGAAGGAATATGATTCTGCCAGGATCAGATTTAATCTTAATAAATGTATTGATGGATGATCCGCACAAGAAAAAATTGCCTTTTTTTTGTTCTGTTAAAGTATTTGAAACTATGACCTGTTTTATTTTTGTGTGTTTAATTACAGGAAGCAAGATGTGGCTATGCAATCATCCTGATGGCTTTGTATTGGTGCACAGAGTGTATGCCTCTGGCTGTGACTGCTCTTCTCCCTGTCGTCTTATTTCCGATGATGGGCATCATGAAAGCTGGAGATGTACAGTTCCTTTTTACACTTTTGTTCCTCATTAGTAAGATTCTACCTCTATGTTTGTGATTCTTCTAGGAAATACGGTCTACAAAGAGTTAAAAAGAGGAAACTGTCAGTCAACTGGCAAGAGACAGTTAATCGTGTTTAGATTCCAAGGTGGAGTTCTGCCATTTTAAAGGACAAATATCATGCCTCTTATTTAGACCTTTCAATTTTTGTCTATGTTAAGCTCAGCTTCAACACTATGGTCCAAATGTGTCCATAATGTAGCAGCTCAGCCATTCATTTGAGTGATTTTCTAATATGCCTTCACATCGCCCTCCAGGTTGCGGACGGAGAATCAAATAATAACATAATCTGAAGCAATGACAACCATGTGTTTTAGGTTGTATTCACACCGGCCACATTTTGTCCACTTTAAATGCACTATAGTTCATTTCCTGCCTTGATGCGAACCTTCTGTGCAGGAGTGAATAAAGACAAGCAAACTATGGTCTCGAGCAAACAATCCATTTGGAAAAGTGGTCCAAATGGATTCTGGTACAGTTCACTTTAGGTATTAATGCAAAAGGTTGTAGGTACCAGATCTCTCAACCAATTACCAATGTTTGCTATTATTTTACATTTCCGTTGGCAAGCTAAGATAGCCAAAGGTAGAAAATTCTCAGTCTTGAAGGCAAGTACTACGTTCCAAGACAGACTGAGCTCTGACATTTTACAAGGTGACTCAAAAAGTTTCATTGCTTCTTTTCATTACGCTCTGAGGGCAAGGGAGGACAACTGGAACATCTTTC